AAATGTTTTAACATCTACAAGCATATATTTGATTATCATATTTTTATTCAAGCCAATGCAATGCTTCATTAAGTTATAATTATTGTTAAAAATGGCAGACAACATTTAGTGTGTTATTTTAGCTATTGTTCTTAGAAGAATCTAATATGGTTATTAGAATTTTAGAATTTAGAATGAGTGGGAGGGGGGTTAATCACTTCGACCTTACAGATCCATTGTGTCCCCCTTTCTTGAATCATAACTCATCATACAGTCCCAGGGCTTTGACAAAAGCCAGTATCTGGGACGGTTTTATAGAGGGTAGTTCTCCATCTCCAATATCAGTCGTACCAAAATTCATGGCACGAATGGTTGTCGTCTCGGCGCACTCAGTGATGAGGTGTACTGGTGTTTCACCATCTTCCCCACAGAATCTGCATTCGCCGTTTCTTCTTAGTTTCAATCTACTGAGGTGTTCATTGAGGAGACAGTGTCCTGTTAAAAACCCCGTGACAATCCGAAGATTATTCTTACTCAGACCCAGGAAGATCTGTGAATTTTCTTGATCATAAGCCCTCAGAAACTTCTTCGAGTGTCTTAGACCATTGCAAGATTTCCATTCCAGGTTGCGGATGGAATCTTCCAAATTCTTGAGTTCCGCCTTGAGTTGGTTACCACTTGGAAAGCAGAACGGTTCTGGTCCAGTTAGTGGAGTGTTAGCTCCTTTCCTAGCTAGATTATTTGCTTTTTCATTGCCTTCTATCCCTTGGTGAGCAGGCACCCAGAGTAGGAGGACTTTGTTTTCTTTGCCTAATTTATTCAGCTTCTCTATGCATTCTTTGACCAATTTCGAATTGATCGATACTGAGTTGATCGCTTTTAACGCTGCTTGACTATCAGACAAGATGGCTGTTTCTTGTTTCCGATAGTTGCTATCTAAGATAAGTTGTACGCATCTTTCGATAGCGTAGATTTCTGCCTGTAGGATACTAGGGTAAGTGCCCATTGGTTCGGAGTAATTAGCTCTCGGCCCAAACACTCCGATCCCTGTTCCCGTATTGGTTTTGGAAGCATCAGTATACCAAGTTATGGTATGGTCTTTTAACTGCTGGGCAAGCGTTTCGCTCTTCCAATCCTTCTTATTGCTCATACGCTAATATGGTTATATTTCCGACATAATTATTATCCAATCTAATCTGTACAGGGTTTTATTAATACTAATATTTGGAAAATTCTAAACTTGAAAACATTAAAATTTGTAAACTGTTTAAAATATCGATAATTTAATGTTAATTTATTTAGAATTAACTTTTTCCGCGTTTTAATAAAAACAGTTTAATTTAATTTATAGAAAAAAACGTTTATTAACGATCAATAAATGTTTAAATAATTGCCTTTGTTCTGTAATAATAAAAATAAAATCGTCAGACCTCCAAATTTAGTGATAAGTTATTTTACTCGAGTTCGTTTCGAACTTTTGGAGTTTTTCTTTGAAACTATCGCCGATTGCAAAAACCATTTGGGTCAATAAGCAAGCAGTTACCAAGCCGCAGTTGCGAAGGTTATTCTTGGTGCATAGTTTCGATTGAGTAGCTAAATAAGGCTATTTGCAAAGAGATATAATTGTTTATAGCAATGGCGTAGCGAAAAACTAGTCTCAGGTGACGTCAACATTGTAATCCCATAAGACAGTGAAACCTGAACCGTTGTTTCTTGTAGTTACTTTGGTTTACCAGTTTTATCATTTCTTGCCTATTGTCGCAATTGTAGAAATATTTATATTATCTGAACTGATATTGACTTGACTATTGAAATTTGATACAGTAAATATAAGATTTATTTTTTTTATAATAATTGTTATAATATAATATTTGAAAATACATACAGTTTTTTCTTATCAAGGAGGACAATTTTTGAGGCATTTGTTGTCGTGTTACTTTCAACCCCTTGACCCCCAGGGCACCTACCCCTAAAATTTTAAATGGCAACTCCTATTTTTTTTACCATTTTTGTGTTCCTTATAAAATTCTCAAAAAAATAATGCAGTTTATGTAGAATTCTATAAGAAACACAAAAATGGTAAAAGAAATAGGGGTTGCAATTTAAAATTTTAGGGGTAGGTGCCCTGGGGGTCAAGGGGTTGAAAGTAACACGACAACAAATGCCTCAAAAATTGTCCCCCTTGATATGTAAATTGACGTATTTCGCCAAATTTTCATACTATCATCGGTGGAGGCAGTATTAAATACTGTTCGTTTTCAAATTGTCACCCCGTATACAATACTAAGTAAAGCAAACTTAAGTATACAATTGATGCAAATGAATTACCACTAAAGCGTCATCGTTGCTATACGCTGTTGTTATACAGCGTGTCCCAGGCTAAGCGTGCATTAGAAGTTTCGAGAGAACTACAATATCTAGGTCGGATGTTTTTTTGCACACTATTGTTTCACAATGAGATATATCATTTAAAAATATTTTCAATATGGCGACACTTTCAGAAATACCGGAAGTTGGCTACAACTTCCTTTTTTAAATGGATACTCACAGTTCCATGACAGCTACGGCCAATATTATATGACATTCAAACAATTTAGTTTTTGAAATAAATAGCCACATGTCTTCTCTTTATGTCCCAGCGGCTGTGGTAATCACTAAATTTGACGTTTAGACTATACAAGTTTTTTTGACAGGCAGTTTCGCCAAAAATTTTAAATATTTGTTTTTTTTTCAAAAATGTTAGGTATAGACTGTTTGATATCAAAATTAGTAAAATTTTACAGAGAATTTAAGTATGTAATAAAAATTAGGATACCCATTTATAATAAGAAAGTTGACATCAACTTGAAAATCCATATTGAAAATATTTTTAATTGATAGATCTCATCATACAATCATGTGCAAAAAATCTCCGATCTAAATATTGTAGTTCTCTAGAAACTTCTAATGCACGCTCATCCTGGGACACCCTGTATACCTATGTGAGTAATGAACTGACATATAATTTCAGTCCGTATGTTGGTCATCGGCATTTAAAGAAAATAACAAAGCTTCCACTGCCCAGTTTTGCCTTGAGGAAAAACTGTATCTGTGTATCTGTCTTTATTCATAACAATTAGCTAAATAAAGTTATTATTTTTGTTCTATTTTTGAAAGAGTATTATCTATTTAACTAAATGCAAAATTATCTTGAATCCTGAATTTATGCATGTTAAATTAACTCTAATTTAAAGCTATTTAACCACTCTGTATCTACACCACTGTTCCCACGTGTTAATAAAACCAAATTCGCAGGCAATTGCAACACATGATTCGATACTGAATGGTATTTATACGCACATGACTTGCGGGAAACACTTTCGATTCTGTGTTTAACCTTTTGATCGAAGCTCACTCTCCTCCGTGACTTTAACTTGAATGTTGACCCAAAAACTGGAAAGGCTCGCGGCGTTTCCTCTTCCAGTAATAATGGACGGGTTACCAGCGGCTGATTTGTGAATACAGTACTTGGCATTTTACGAATAAATCAATAAATTTTCGTTATTTTATATAACTAATAGATGCTCTCTCTTCAAATAAGTGTTTAATCACATATACACTAAGGAAAAAAATCAACTTTGATGATAAAGTGTTGTTTAAATTCCTTACTTTGTTAAACCGTTCTATAGGGTGTTTCAAACTTACGGTTCTGAATTTTTATTACTGCTCTTAAGAGCTCTGCAACCTAACCAATGAATTAACGTGCTTAATCGAAAAATTAATGTCAGTGACATTAATTTGCGATATTTTCGGATCTATTGTGGTCCCCTTTTGATTCTTAGGTTACATTCTCCAGTCTATCCTTTTCACAAAATCTAGCAACTTCATATAGCTCTCTGTCCATATAGCTCTCTGTCAGTGGCCTATCATTGCCTATTACCGAGAGCCGCACATTTGCCAGGCTGTCGCACCGACCTAAAATGTGTCTGTCGTTTCTTCCTCAGATTGAAGAACCTGCACATGACTTCGTCCGACAAGCCCATTAGTTTTAGATGCCTATGCTTACAATGCCCTGTTAATAGACCCACAGGCTTCTAGTAAGATTTCACAAGAAAATTATTTGGTTTTGTGGATCTTAGAAGATATTGAAGTCCTTACAAAAAATACAGAAGTAAGTGACTTTAAATAATAAATATTTTATTTATTGGTTTGCGTTTTATACAAAGTTTCTTGGATACGCCACTGCATATTAAGTAACCTTGCTTCGAAGAAAACGAAACTGATAGAATGTCTGATGATGCACGCGATATTACTGATGCTGTACTCTTATGAAATTGTGATTACAAGCCGAAGCCTAGAAGGTCTGAAGAATATTTGCTTATGAAAATATAGGTAACAGCCGATATAAAAAAAATCGCTGATGAATATGTCAGAATATAGCTCCTATTGGTATAGAAGTTATATTTGACATATTCGTATATTCTGACATATTCGTATACTCTGACAGCTTGGGCGGTTTAAGAAGCATCCCCAATCCGCTATCTTGTGATAATCTACCCCGATAAAAAATAAGCTTGTGGCAACACTGGGTGACTGTCATATGTAATTCAAACCAATAATCAACGAGAATATTCGTATAATTTAATAAAATTACTATTTTATCTATTACTAATTATTATTTGTAACTGAGCTGTAATTTCTGTATTATTAATCCGGTAAATGATGGAGATAAACAATTGTGATTGATTAAAATTTTATTTTAAGGTGAAAGTTTTTTCATTCTGAGCATTTGAATAATGCATTGAATGATGACAAGACAAGTGACGTCTGTCTAAAAATGACAGCGATTTAGAGTGTCAATCCACACGTATATTAACTACAAGTGCATATTGCCATATTTAGTTATTTTTCTTTTATAAACTTATCACACCAGCGCCATTTTGACCTATGTCCAACGATAGACCAAAAATGGCTAGAGAGATAAAAACTTATCACTATTATATAGTTTAAATAAACGTTCTAACTAGACTAGTACTGCACAAGTAAGCTTTTACCCGGTGCCATATCCGTACCGCAGAACGGAACAAGCGCGAGACCACCGATCGAAAGCAATCTCCACATTCAGCCGCGCTCCAACGCAAGGGAGGGGAAGCTAATCCTTAATTTAGGGGACAAACAGAAATAATTATCGATATGGCAATATTTTGTAGTGGCTGTCCGTAAATCGAACAGTTAATAACAATTTTATTGTTGGCGTGCCTACGCGTAAATCGCGTGCTCTTATCAGAATACGTTGACCTAAGCGCACCAGTTCATATCAATTGTTGTTGTTGTTGTGAGTGGAATATATTATGGATATGTGCTCCAGTTAAAGTGACGATATTTTAAACAAATATTTTTAGATCAAAATCGGTGAGCTTATCATTAATTTTTATTTTTTTATATTCATTTTTATTAATTAATTCTTGTTGTTGCGTGTAGAATATGTGATTCAATTAAACTATAACTATTTTTTTAAATATTTTTCTTTATAATTATTTTATGCAATTTTATCAATAATGTTTTCATTATTTTGAGACGAATATGTGACCCAGTTAAACTGTAACTATTTTTTTTAATATGTTTAGATAAAAATAAGTAAATATTTAAATATTTTTATTTATCTTTAATACAGCGTATACCAATTTTAATTTTTTGTATCTGTAACAAAAATCTGTAATACCTTCGTGGTCTACAACATTTTTCGTGGAATTGGCGTTTTTATGACAGATATGTTGACAGAATTTTATGATAACAATGAAATTTTTGAATTCATGATATTTAAATACATAATTAAATGGCAATATTAAAATTAACTAAAACTGATATACAAAAATAAAAAAATATTTAAAAATTGTTTCAATTTTTAAATAAAATGACAAAAAAATACTGAAACCATATATCTAAAATTCCGCTAAAATTTTAAATAATTATTTCTGTATTTTGTCATAATGAAATCTAGTAAAATATCTATGAAGTAGTTTAATATTACAAATTCCACATTTGTTATAATCAAGTAGTATATAAGATTAATGTGTTCTTTTTTTTATAAATTGGATTAGGATCGAAAGAAATCAACAGAAGTCCTTTGTTTTAAATTTGTCGACGTTTCGCAAAATTTATTTGCATCTTCAGGACAATTTAAATCTGGACTTTCTTAGTCATATCCATTAATACACGGATGGTATAGAGGGGAGTGGTATATATGCCTTTTTTCCTTTTAAAACACATAACACACTTACATAAAAAAAAATTATTTTTATAAAATTTATAAAAAAAAGAACACATTATATATTATTGGATCGACAACAATAAAAATTATATAAGATTAATATTATTAATCATAAAAATTAAAAATTAATCAATATTTCGTTCAAATATTCAATCTATATTTATATAAATGAATCGGTTTTATTTTTGCAAATTTTGTGATTTAGAATTAACTTAAAGAATATAATTTTATTTAGAAAATACTATCCTTGTGGATTTTCTTCTTTATAGTGTTTTTTTTTTCACTCTCCTCTGTATAAACATACCGGGTGCGTCTCAAAAGTGGCTCACTTCTATAACTTTTTTATTTTTTTAGATAAAAAAGTGAGATTTGATATATGACATAAATTAGAATTGATTGACGTATTCAATTGTTTTTGGTTACTTCCTGTTACACGGGTAATAACCCCTTTTAAATGGTACCCTCGGTATTTTGTTACTTTATTCGATACAAAGTGACACTATGAATAGAATGACATAATTATATGTCAATTTTCGACATTTTTACTTAAAACAAAATTGTATTTTAAATTCCAATGTAGAGTGCCATGGCTGTGTTAAAAACCCTAATTTTTAATCAAAGAGCCTTGGAAAATAGATTTGATCGTCTAATGTTTTAGTACCTTGTTCTGGCCGGGTAAAAAGAGGCCCAAATCGTATTTTCAATAATATCTCAATTTTTTCAAATGGAATGAGGGGTAGCTGATTAGCATATTTCAAAAATCATTTTTTTTCGAATAATTTGGTACCACCACACACTTGGTATTTCGAGTCAAATTGTCGTTATGAACAGTATGTTGCAATTTCAAATAAGCTTATATTTTAATATGTCAAAAGTTGACATATTATAAGTCATTCTATTCAGAATGTCATTTTCTATCGAATAAAATAACAAAATACCGAGGGTGCCATTTTAAAAATCAAAAGTTGTAGTCATTTCCGGTGAAACAGGAAGTACCAAAAACAATTGAATACATCAATCAATCATAATTTATGTCATATACTAACATACCAAATCTCGTTTTTTATCTGAAAAAAATAAAAAAGTTACAGGAGATACACCCAGTATAGTTTTAGGCCAGTATAAATCGTAATTTGATCTACCTTTTCATATCACTTTAACAAAAATATTACAAGTTAATATCTAGTTTAATTTCTATTTTTTTAGTATACACGATTGTCCCAATATTCAATAGACATAGAACTACTATGTAATATTGGAACACCCTGTATATTTAATAATTAAACTAATTACGATTAGTCAAATGGTTTAAGTAATGTTATAATTTATTTTCATTTTAAAACTGAAATTTGAAAAACAGTAATTTAAAAAAATAGACAAATTTGTTTTTATTATAATAATTGGGCTAGATTTGGAAAAACAATTTAATATAAAAAAATAATAATTAAATAATTTTTATAATTATTTTTGTTTCATAAAAAATTAAATATTTTTTATGACAGCAGCAGACTGATTCTTAATTTTGAGTAATAATCGTCTTTAGATATTATGTTTTTGATTTAATCAAAACCAGGTAAATATTTTTTTTTATTTGAATAAAAAATTAAATAATATTAAATAAGAATATTATTAACCAATGTTAAACATTGCTAAATATATTGGTTTCACTAAAAATGAATTAGATTTTAAAAAAGCCAAAAATTGTGTAAACTAATATTTTACAACTTTCCAATTTTGAACTAATTTTGATCACTTTTAATTGTAAAAAGTAATTATTCTACTTTTTTTAGTATTACTTAAATAAAGAAAAAATTATCTACAATTTTATTATTACTAATTGAATAGCTTAATTTAAGTAGATTTCTTTATCAGAGCACCTCTTTCTTTAATCATAATAAGATCTGTTTTTATTCCATTTATTTAGTAATTTCATTGATTAATAAGCTTTTTTTAATGTTCTTTTTTCAATAATTGTTATCGACATTTTTGTACATGATTTATAGTTAAATCACTATCTGTATTATAATTAGTTTAATTAATATATTAATTATTACGGTTGATTTTTTTTCTTTATTTTTTACGGTTATTAGAACAATTATTTTGTATTGACCTGTTTTATTCTTTAACTAAGGATAAAGAAATCATATTCAGTTTTTGTACTCTATATCGTTTAGTTTCTCTATTGATTAATATAATTAAATATTTTTAACTTATTTCGAATTTTTTGATGTCATTACAAATACAAACTATGTCATCAATTAAATTGAAAAAGCATAATAATAGGTATAGTTGAAAAAAATCAGTATGCACTATTAAATTCGAAATAGATAATACTGCTTTATAAAAGTGCATAATTTTACTCAATAAACAATTAGGTATATTGGTAATTACCATAACTAATAACAAAAGGAATAACTAATGAGAAAAATGCCGACAAATAAATTAAACTGCACCTCAATACGAATAACAAAAGATACCGGTCAGCTGATCTTGTTCTTTGCGGTTTCATAGCGATTGGCCTCGGGATATAGGTTCAGAATTATGCAATAATAAACATAGAGTTCAAAGAATTAGAGTGCTCCAACGAAAAATTTTTAAAATAGCTCAAATATAAAAAAAAACTTATCTATTGTTAAATACAGAATCAACAGCTTAAAACCAATAATAGTTAATTAATATTAAACTAATTATGGCCATAATTATTGTTTTATAGTTCAGGTTTAATGACTAATTATTATTAATTCATTAGAAAAATAATGGGGTAAAATTAACAAACAATTTTCTTCTCTTAAACAATATGGTACTGATACCTAATGACATTGGTTTTTAAATATCATAAAATTTTCATTTTCTTCTTTATATTACCCCTTACAATACAGGGTGAGTCTTAAATAAGTGCAAATATTTTCAGGCAGGTAGACCAAGTTAAAAGTTTAAAGTTATTTTACTTTGAAAATTTCCAAAAAAATATTTTTTGCTAAAATTTTTAGAACCACTGGATCTTTTCTGGATTTTCTTTCTTGTAAATTTAATCTAATACCTATGTTGCCATATTATCAAGAAATTATGTTTTTTAACTAAAAACTAAAAAAAAATTCCAAAAAAGAATTCAAAAAATTTCGAATTTTGAATTTTTTTTTCGCGAAAAAAACATATTTTTATGTTTTTTCTTTAATTTTCTCTGAAACGGTATGAAAATTTTAAAAGTATAAACGGGATTAACCATTTTAGAAAAAGCAAAAAAACAGAAAGACCAGTATTTCAAATGCAAACTTCCATCTTCCATTATGGTTCTTTATATTCTATTGGGCGTCAAAAAATTGAGGGTGTAAAAAAATAAAAACACAGATTTTTTAGTTAGTTAATGAACTTATTTATAACCACTTATTACATCAAATAAACTGCCATTTTTCCAAAAGTTGCCTGGGCAAACAAAATAAAAAATAAGCACTAAATAAGAGATAGTAGAAATTTGAAAAAATTTTCAAAAAAAACAATAAGAAAACTGGAGAAATTTATTTGGGACTCTTTATCTATATTCTCGTTGGCTAAAATAAAAAGATGTAAATACCCGTGCGTGTGTATGGCAGGACTTAAGTACAGTGACCAGGCTAACACCAGGTCCACAGACACTTTTTTTATTCTTTGAATAACTGGGTTAAGGTGAGAGTAAACGATGAGACGTTCTGAAATCATGACTTGGCAAAAAAACTTACTAATAGAATTCGAGGATTTAACTTTACATAAATATAAAATTTATTAGTTGGATCTTTCTGTAATAGCCTCTGTATAATTACATAAAAATACTCTTCCTATTTTGGGCAGCTACCCTCCTCTAGAAATTCAAAAATTAAAGTTACCGAAGATTTGTTCTACTGAATTTATTTAAATGAATGTTTATTCAATGTTTTTAATAGATACAATAATTTTGTTTACACATTTTATTTGACATACTCTCAATTTATACTTTCTCCACCTTCCTGTTACATCGACTTGCCCCCCTCTAGGCCATCGGCTGGCGACGCTCTATATACAGGGTAGGTCTTAAATAAGTGCAAATATTTTTAGGGGCAGTATATTTCGACCCCAGAAACAAGTCTATGAGGTTTTTTTCGCGGAAAAAAGTTATGAAAATTTGTAATTTTTTAAAAATATGGATTTTTTTAAAATTTTTACTTAAAAGAAGAAGAAAACTAAGAAAAGATCCAGCGATTCACAAAAAATAAGCAAAAAATAATTATTTTTCTTTTGAAATTACCTATTAGTAAAATATCTCGGTTATTTTGGACTTATTTGAAAAACGGTAGAGGAAATATGTTTCTTTTATCGAATTCTACCAGCCCGGAAAATATTTGCACTTATTTAAAACCCACCCTATATATCTCTGTTACATAGATTTATAAGCTGATTTGCCGTTTTAATTTGCAAGTTGCAATATGGCAGTGTTGCTAGTTACTTTGCAATATAAACATACCTAGAAAGAAGTATAGCATGTTCTGAATAACTACTTGTTTTCATTTTTTTTCTTCAAATTGTTTTAAATGATCTCTAGGTTCTCATTTTCCCTAGAATAATAGGAAAAAACAAGAAAAGTCAGAATAAATTTTAAAAAAGTAACTGATTGATTTTCCAACCTATTTTTTTTGCTCTAATTATAGACTCAATATTTTTGCTCGTTTATTCTCGTTTGTTCTTTGGGAACGTTCCCCAAAAACAAATATTCTTGATCATTTTACAGCACTAGTGACTAGGCCACAAACACTATTTTCAGAAGTTAAAATATAATTAAAAATGTTTTCTTTACAAAAAAAAAAGATTTTAAAGGTAAAAAAACTAATTCTTGTGCATTTTGGCTTTCTCATTTCAAGTTGCGAACGATATCTTATTAAACAAAAGATAATGCATAAAGTAAAAAAAAGAATATGAAATAAAAAGAAAAAAATGGAAAGAAATAAATAAAAAAGATATTGTAAAAAAATTACTTCACATGGAGAAATTTGAAAAGTGAATTAAAAAAATACTACTGTAGCCCAAAAGAAACTATCGAACCTTTTAACCATCTCTTTGTTCTAATATACCGGAATTGATATTTCAGATTCAATAAGGAAACCATTTACAAGTGGAAAACCTTGTAAGATTTTTTACAATATGATCAAATCTATATCTAATTGTTTTTTCAATACTTACTAATTTTTGACTACTTCGATTTATTTGAACAAAGAAATCAAGGATAACAGGCAGCAACAAGAAGTTTGTTTCGACATCAGGATCTTGTGCTAATGTACCTGTTATAGACTGTTATATTAATATCATGAAACTAAGCAAACATAATTGAAAATGTACGTTGTTAAAGTTTAAGTTTAAATATTTCAAATAACACTAGAACACTCTTGCCTGTCCAACGATAGAACCGTCATCGGTACATGACAGGGACAGTTCACAGGATTTTTCTGTCAATTTTTGGTTATAGTCTGTCAAAATCATCCCTTCTTTAGTTTAGTACATGCTTTAGATATTTTTTTGTTTTTTCAAAAAAGTGTACCTATTTCTTCGGTAATATGTTTTTCATATATATTTTTAATTTATTTTAGGTGAAATGATTAACATCATTTCTTATCTCCTGATTATTCTCGGCTTACTGGTAGTACTATATTATGCTCTGGACATAGCATGGAACCTGTTAAAGTTAGTAAGGGCATATTTAGCACCCTTATTCCTACCGAGTGAAGAGAAATCTCTGGTTCATAAATACGGATCATGGGCATGTAAGTATATATAACGATAATAACATGATTACAAGTACCTAATAAGGCTCTTAATTTTATTTTTATTATTTAGTTCTAATGATTCAGATCAATACAGAGAGTATTTGTCTATATGGTTTATGGTTTATTCCATTTATAGTAAACTATTCAATATGGTGTATAGAATTCAAGATCTGAACACAACGTATAGTACTTCAGAGAATTAAATAATGAAAAAGACAATTGCGACTAATTAGACATAATTAATGTTAAATTAATGAAAATGGAAGATAAAGAGGAAAATATAAGAATCTGCAAACCTACTGTATCTCTTGTATAGCAGATATCAGAATCACTTATACCGGGTGCGTCTCAAAAGTGGCTCACCCCTATAACTTTTTTTATTTTTTCAGTTAAAAAAACGAGATTTGGTATATGACATAAATTAGGATTGATTGACGTATTCAATTATTTTCGGTCACTTCCTGTTTCACCTGAAATGACTGCAACTTTTGATTTTTAAATGGCACACTCTGTATTTGTTTACTTTATTCGATAGCAAATAACACTCTGAATAGAATGATATGTCATTCTATTCAGAGTGTTACTTTTGACTTGAAATTACAACTTGCAGTTCGTAACGAAAATTTGACTCACAATACCAAGTGTGTGGTATCAAATTATTCGTAAAAAAACGTTTTTTCCAATTATGCTAATAAACCACCCTCGTTCCATTTGAAAAAATTGAGATATGATTAAAAATACGATTTGATTTTTCTAACTGGTCAGGACAAGACATTAAAAACATTAGACGATCAAATCTATTTTTCCCAGGATCCTTGATTAAAAATTAATGTTTTTAACATAGCCATGGCGGTCTAGATTCAATTTTATAATACGATTTTTTATTAAACGGGAATGCCAAAATTATGACATTCTATTAAGAATGTCATTTTCTATCGAATAAAGTAAAAAAATACCGAGGGTGCCATTTAAAAATCAAAAAATATATTCATTTCCGGTGAAACAGGAAGTGACCAAAAACAATTGAATACGTCAATCAATCCTAATTTATGTCATATACTAACATACCAAATCTCGTTTTTTTATCTAAAAAAATAAAAAAGTTATAGGGGTGAGCCACTTTTGAGACGCACCCAGTATACAGGGTGGTTTAGTGTTCCAAAAAATCTCCATATCAAATTTTCTTTTTGAGGTTCTATGTTTTTATCAAATTTGAGTAAATCATACAAATTTTCATAGTAATATTTTAAAAAGTGATAAATTTTCGACATATTTAAAATTTAACGCTCTCTCAAATTTTTAAAAATTGCAAATGAATTATACTTTTTTGCCAATGAATTATACTTTTAACTCAATCGTTAAAATCAAGTAAGCGATAATAATCTAGTTAGCTATAATGTGACTGTTATGCCACTGTCACAAATTAATAATCTTTGACAATAAGCTCTTAAAATATTTTAAATTAATTAACGTTTAGGTTTAGTTTTAATTGATGCCCTCTAAAAAACAAACGAAGCACTTTTGTATAGAGATAAATTGTGTTCAATTAACTTATTTTGATTCCAAACATACGTGGTAATTCTATGTCCACGAAATATTGAGACACCCCCTATATCAAAACATAAAGTAAAAACTAAAAATATCTGCATAATCTCTAGACATTTTTTCAGCGTGGCTAAATATAGCAACAAAGGCACGATAATTACAAAAATAAACGAAACGCTTTAATGCTGTTAATGAACTTTAATAAAATTATATAATTGTAAATACCATTAACCTACATTATCTTTCTTTCTATACTATTGACCGTGATAGGCGGAGAAAGTGCAAGATACACATCACACTCCATGTGATAATTGAAGTTTAAATAAACCTACACTACCGTGTAGATTTCCTTTTATTAAGTTTACTATTTGAAGATGTTTTATTGTTGTATTTTATTATTTCTAACCATCCGTTAGATTTCTATGTTTAATTGATTTCAAGGCTATGAGAATCACGTACATGAAGTAAAAGGAAATATTTCTCTGTGGAAATCAAACTTATTGTGGTTGGTTTAAGTTATTCAAGAATTAAGGAAAACTTTTATATGGTGTGAGAAAAAAAATGATCTTAATGTATTCTACAATAATAGTTAGTTTGATTCTATGGATAATGATTTAGTATTTAACTGTCCTAATTCCCAAACATCATGAGAAACAAGCTTTTATTATTTTTATTAAACATAATATTGTGAAAAGATATATGCAAAGATATTTGCCATATGGCTTTTGTATTATTGACAAATAGATTTGAAGAAATTGATTATAGACGGCTATTAAAACTCTATGTCAGGAGATAATGATATATTAAGGAGGGTCCACATTTAGTAACATGTTATATAACATTGCTATTTAACAAGCTACATGTAACATGTTAAAAAACCGGGAGCCGTCCACATTATAGTTTTCGTAGTCATGAATCGTTTTGGCGAGAAAGAGGTTCAGCTCGCAGCAGCGGCGTGCGTAATTATTTTTGAACTAAGGGAAAGAAAGTCGAGAAAAAAAGCGGTTTTGAGTCCGCCATAGCCTACCAGCAAGATCTAGATACAGTTGAACTCAATTAGCTTATCTTTTCAATACTTGCCTCGGCTGTTTCTCGTGGTGTGTTTCTGTCTTTTAAAAACATTAATAATTTACAGTACGTCTCGTCTGCTGGATCTGCGTCAATGAAAGGAATGCAGACAAAAAACATTTAAATAAACAGCAATATATTCTATACGTCGATTTGACGAGTGCGTCACCGCTAATCGCTCCGCCCACTCATTTTATTGGCTACTTGCAAATTTGTCGAATTTTTATTGATGGGACGCGTCGTCTATTTTTTACGAAAAACATCGAGAGAATATCGTTTCCCCTCTCACGGATACCCCGTAGCTACAGAACGGAGAGACGTACTGTAAAAGCAAAAACAAACCATTTTGAATTATCCATTTCACCTGATTTGCAATTCTTTTGTTCCCGCTGGAACTGGCCTATTAGATTACGCATTTTTTCTCAACTTTTTCTGTTTCCAAATACATACTATGAAATGAAAATCGCTGTCATTTTATATGGAAAATTATATGGGGAATGTCATCGATCGTCATGTCCAAGCTAACTTACTTACTTACTGCCATTACTCGCTGACGAGTATTTGACACGCATCAAAAGATGGTTACGCAAGGCGTTTCCTGTCATGAGCTTTTCTGTGACTGAAAAGCCCGATACGTGATGTTATCTCTCTTCCGCACTCCGGACATTCAAAAATCTCATTACTGTGTTGCCTCTTTACCTTTTGGTTGTCGTTATTAACTGAATTTACCAAGCCAACTGGACGGGAGGCCGACGGGACGCAGTTTTTTTTTTCGATCATACGGTATTATTGACCAGTAAATAAACAAACCAATCAGCTCATCACACTAAGATTCTGTCGCGCACGTCCCTGAAAATATGAGCGGCTAAACTAGAAATTTAGCAAGTGTGGACGCGTTGTTTCATGTTACAATAGCAATGTTGCACAACATTTTTTGATCTTTACCGACTACAAATGGATAACATCTAGCAAGTTATATAGCATCGAAATTTGCTAAATATAACTAAAAAATATGTAACATGTTATATAACTTTGCTATATAGCAGTGTTATATAGCAAGTGTGGACCGTCCTTTACATACCTAATTTTCAAACTAATAGTTTATAAACTTTTTTGCATTTGTGCAATAACGTCTTCTCTAGAATAATGAAAAAACATATAGCTTCAGGATATTCACTGCATTTGCAATCTTTTTTCTCTTGTAAACCACAGGGTGGTCCGAACTGTTATTCCGGAAAATAATATAACATTCTTCAGATAAAAATATGCAAAAAAGTTCGTATAAATGTATGTCCTAAAATGCTTAGTTTCGAAGTTACAGGGTGTAGAAGTTTCATAATTTGATTTTTTCCAAATAATTTCCGAATTAACATCAATATTTGGATGAAAATTGATGGCTGGGAGTTTTTTGACATGAGAAAGTTGATTTTGGTGTCAGTATGACTCCTGTTTGTAGGGGGCGCCAGCTACATGTGGTTTAACTGTGTTGAAGAGTAACAACTTTTTGTCTGTACCTCCATAAAACTACTGGGTGAACAAAATATACATTTCTGTGATTTTTTACGTAAAAAATGTCTCTTGGTAAAAATGGCTACGACCAACTCAAGATATTTAAAATGAAAATCGTCAATACATATCATGATTGACAAAAAATAAACAGGTTGAGTAGATTGGGAGTTATTTGACTGAAATGTCAAGTGACAAAAGGTTTCAGCTTCAAGTTTTTTAAATTAATCATAAATTTTTCTTTGAAAAAATGATGATAATACTGTTTTTGCACACTTTTGGCACAGTCTAATGTCATTTCAGTCTAATAACTATTTAATCAACATGTTTAATTTATGTGAGTGATGACAGGTATTGATAATTTCGATTCCAAATATCTCGAGAATCATTATATTACTCATAGCGATTTTTACCAAGGTATCTGTTTTACTTAAAAAAACGCCATAAATGTATATTTTTTACTCAGTAGGTTTATACAGGTACGGACGAAAAGTTATTACTCTTCAAACCAGTTAAAAAATATGTAGGTGGCGCCCTCTACAAGTAGAAGTCATATTGACATCAAAATCAAATTTCTCGTTTCAAAAAACTTATAAACACCAATTTTTATCCAAATATTGATGTTATTTCATAAATTATTTGGAAGAAATCGAAATAAAAATGAAACTTCTACACTCTGTATCTCCGAACATTTATACGAACCTTTTTACTTATTTTTATCTGCAAAATATGCTGCCGAAGTTTCCGGAATAGAGTTCGGACCACCCTGTATACAGGGTGTTTCAAAAAACATGTGCCATCTCTTGTGGGGAGAGTCCTCATATAAAAATAACATTTATTTTTCATTCAGTTTCACTGGATTATTTTTCTAACAAAAC